GGGGGGGGGGGCTTTGGTGATGATGCTGAGTTTATTTTCACCTGAGACATCGGCCTTGCCGCTTCCCCTGCACTTTTGAGCTGTGCCCCAAGTGATGTGAAAAGTGATGGTGGTGTTGGGGGGAGGGGGTATGAATTGTCTCTTGTCCAGAGGCCCCCCACTCCTTTTGACACCCAACCCAGAAGATCCTTGGGTGGCTGCTTTGGGGCTGAATTGGGGAGTTACATCTCCAGAGAAGGATGTAGTCCTGTGGGGTTTTGGGGAGTAGATGCTGAGAGGTAATGGGAAGTCGGGTGCTGAGCTGCTTGGAATTAATGAAAGGGCACGAATCCTCTTCAAAATGTGTAGACAGTGGGCTTCCACACCTTTATGCTCTGCCCTGAATGCCGGTGGCACCCCTGCCTCAAGGGTTTGCTGCAAGAGCCCTGGACTGGAGGCAGCCATCAGCCCAACCACAGCTCTTGGCGTGAAAGTCAAGTTTGGAGCAAGGACTGTACCAACCTCATTTCAGTCATGGACCTTGTTGAGGATGGGGTCTCACAGCCTGGCCCCAAGCCCCAGTGCCACAGGATTGCTGGGAAGGATGAGGGACAAGGGACAGGATATGGCAGCCTCCCAGCCATGGTGGGACACAGCCAAAATGCCCCCAAATATAGCCCTAAATCTCTGTGGCTGCAGAGTGGGGTTCAAGGAGAAATGCTGAGGAAGGCGCTGGTGGGCACTGCTTTAGTTTTCTCTTAAAACAGTTTCCCTGTACCCTCTCCCCCCAAAAAAACCAGCTTTTCACATCACTGAACGTTTTAAGGTTTGGGGTGTTATTTTTAATCCCAAGGTTTCCTGGAGTCCTTCTGTTTTCATACACCTTTATTATTATTATTAAGACTATGTATATCAGACATTGCCTGGGGGGTTGGTTCTGTCGGTTTGCTTTTTTTGTTCTTGCAAAGCCCTTTCTATCCTTTGTAAAGATGATCCAGTTTTCTGAGTTGCTTTTTCTTTTCTATTTTTTCCCCATCTTTTTTTTTCCCCTCTTCCTAATGGATTCCAAATATTAAAAAAAAAAAAAAAAAAGAAAAGAAAAAAAAAAAAAAAAAAGGAAAGAAAAGAAAAACCCTAAAAAAAACCCCTCTCTGTTCCGACCTCGTTTTGAAACTTTAAGCTTTTCTGCTTCTGTAAAGAAAGAAATAAGGCCTCTGTCTTTCTGATCCCAATTGAGACTTTTATGTTCTATGACGATACTAACAAGGTGTAGGTTTTACAGTTTCCTGATTTGTACTGGTAATGCATATTCCAAATAAATAGTTTCTTTTGTTGCAAAAAAAAAAAAAAAAAAAAAGAAACCAAACTTGGCGTATTTTTGGGGAGGAAAAAAGAGGAAAGCAAGGGCTTTTTCCCACGGGGGTACAGGGGGCAGGGGGCAGGAAGGGTTTGGGATGCAGTGGGAGGGTGAGCAAGGGCAATAGCCTCATGCTTGACCCTGCTTCTGGTGGTGTGAACTTGGGAGCTGGAGGGATGCAATTCAGGGATGATGCCTGATGTGCAGCATTCCCGCTGCCCTTGGCACCTTCTCCCATGTCTCAGTTTCCTTGGCAGGGGGAAGCAAGTGCTTCTGGACACACAGATTTGTCCATGCAAAAAATATTTTCAGTCTTTCATTTTCATTGCTTGTTCACTGCTTTTTTGGACTTCTTAGTGCACTTCTTCCAAAAAAGCTGGAATGAGGATTTTCTTTATCACACCCAGGCGTGGGGCAGGGCTGGGGAGCAGGGGAAGTATTGGTGGTTTCTTCTGTTTTCCTGGAGGGTTTTAGGTGTTTTGTTGGTTTTGGTTTTGGTTTTTTTTTTTAAATAGAAACATTTTGAAAACATTTCTGAGCAAAAACTCATTTTACATTTAAAAATCATTTGCAATTCAAAAACGAGCCTGTGTGTGGAACAAAAACCAGGACAGCTCTGCCATGTCCATGGTAGTTTTAGGTGAAAAAGGGGGCAGCTGGAGAGGGTGACTGTGATTCC